GGGTTCTGCACAGACAGTATGTTATAGTTCAAAATCATTACATATTTACTGAAAATGACAGGCAACCAGCCGTAGAAGTAAAGATTCATTGAAAAGAGAAGAGGAAACAGAAAGTGAGAGATAAAGACATTATCAATAAGAGCAGCACTGCTGCTGTGATACGTTCATTTTTTAGAAACATATTTTTACCCGGCTGGTGTGAGGAACTGAAACCCCCCATGCAGTTGCACTGAATAAACATTTTGTCTGTCAGGTGGACACAAGATATAAAATCCGCTTGCAGTTCCCTCAGATGTGAGAAGCAAATAGTTTGAACAAACAAAGCCCAGAAGGCAGCCATGGCCAAACTGATTTTACCTTTGGTTCTCCTAGTTGCTCTCCAAGGCTATGGTAAGATGCTCAAAATATAAATTTAAAAGTAAAAGAGACAACTCTACTTTGTAAGTGTAACACATATTTTTCTGCAGATGTGACAGCAACTTGTGACAGCAACCATCTGCAAAGTCTTCCTGGTGAAGTAAGTCAGCAATTTTTATACAAGTATATAATTATATTCTTCTTTTTAAAGTCTAAACTGAAAACTGAATGTAGTTATGATGCCGATGCTTAGAACAAAAAAAACTTTTTTTTTTTTTGTGGAAAGTATTTGCAAATAACTTGCGGAGCCAAAATGAACAAATAGTTTTGCATCTATCAATTTTCTTTTTTCATGAAAAAGAAATTGGATTAAATTGCATTAATCAAATGCAGCAATGCAAATTTTATTTTATTTTATTTTTTGGATGAGTGAACATGATAGATTTAAAATGCTGTTCTTCTAAATGTGCTTTATGAACCATGTGAGACGCAATAGATTTCAATAAAATGTATTTTCTATCCAGAATGGGGACGTTTGCAAGGACTGCACCCAAATATTCACACTCCTTGTTGACATGCTGACCAACGCTGACATGCAGGTGAGAACAATGGCAGATTGTGGAGCAAATACATACCTGAGTGTTCATATTGGTTTTCTGATAATGCTATCAAGTCTACATTCAGAGGTCAGGACCGAAAAACACAATGTTCTACAATAGCCTGCTATTATATGTGGGTTGAACAGATGCTGTTGAATAAAATCCTTTGGAGTAAAAACACATTTTTCACATTCCTTAAAGAAAAACGTCTCTGATCAGTCATGCATGAACTGAAACACAAACAGTAGAGAAATGCTCCTGCTTTCTCTCACACGAAACGTTACTTCCTGTTTTTATTTCTAGCAAAAGCTGAAACTACATTTCTCAAGAGATATTTTTCTCTCCTCATCTTGAACATCCGCTTTCTTGGACTTTGACCTTTTTCTGATCTGGCGTTGGTATTTTTCCTCCAAAAAACTGAGTTTTTACTACTCAACCACAAAGTTTATTAGATTGTTCTCTCTGTAATCCGCTCATTATTTTTGCAGAAAGTTCTCCATCTCTTCTTACTGGTGTCTGATCTTGTTTCATTATTACAATAAATTTACAGTAGAACTGAATCACCATAACTTAACTCAAGACACAAAAAGCAGCATCACGATCACCAAAAAACTATAATTGTTTGGTGTGTAAGGATTCGCTAACAAATGTGTTAGTTGGCTAAATATGTGCTGTGGTTTATTGTGGCTAAATATACTAGTTATTTATTTAGCCAACTTGTTTAGGGATGGTTACTTTAATTAGCCAACTAGCCCAAAAAATTTCTAACCTAATTCTAACAAACCATTTCAAACGTACATATAAAATCTTTTAATGTTTTCATTTTCAACCAGTAATTTTTGACTGTGGTTTTTTTTAAATTTTATTTTAATTAAGCCAAGTATGTTTTACTGTGATATTTGAAACTTTGTTTTGATCAACAAAGAAACCTCACATGCTACAGACCCATTAGTTCAATATTAAGTTGCGTCTACTAACATTTAACCAAGTTACAAAGCACGAGTTGTGTGTCTAAAAACAAATTATCATTTTATGGAGCATAACTTGTTTTTGACATTATTTTCCACTAGAACTTTTTGTTCAGTGGAGAGAAAAATGGCTCACTTTTTCTAGACGGTAATTGTGACTATTTTATTTCAGAAAAAGATCATGGGAGGAATCGATGCTCTGTGTGCACATCTACCTGGACCGGCTGCCAAAATCTGTAAAGACGAGGTGGACAAGATGCTCCCATTGGCCATCACTTTTATTACTGGTGTTGCAGTAAGTTGGAGGCCAGAATCAGTCGTGGCTTTTTTAAAAAAACAGACATAACTGATAGTATATATCAAAAATAATCCATCTGTTTCTGCAGAAACCATCAGAGATCTGCAAGATATTTGGACTGTGTGGCTCTGATGAAGAGCGTGACAGGATGCTCAGCTACTTTGCCAACGAGGTTCTTCAGGTTGCCTTGAAAAGTGACCATGTCAGTACAACTTACTGTAAAATGATGTTTGAATATTTTCTATCGATAATACTTTTACCATGCAGGATTTTTGTGTTTATCAGGGGGAGCCTGCCTCAACCTGCTCCTTCTGCATGTTCTTCTTCAAGACTTTGGAAGAGTTGCTGCCTAAAGAAAGGACTGAGGCGTGTTTTTAACAGCAGGAAAACACTATAAATCAATGGAGGGAACACACGCGGCATTAACCTCAGTCACTTCTCTCATTTCCGACTGCAGGGTGCCGTGATCAAACTGCTGGAAGAGATATGCCACATCCTACCGTCGACTTATCGTAACGAGTGCGAGGTCATCATTGACAAGTACAGCAAAACGGTGCTGGACGCAATCTTGGGTTACGCCACCCCGCAGGCCATCTGTCACCTCATCCACCTGTGCAAAGGCCAGGAAGTTGTTGTTGGTCAGTCGGCACATCCTTGTTCTTGGATGAGTGAACATTACAGATTTAAAACTCTGTTTTTCTAAATGTGCTTTACGAACCATGTCAGACGCAAAAGACTAAAACATTTCTGCAGGTTTAAGTCACAACCCGGTTTTTATTTTATCTTCACTCAACAGAAGAAGCACACAGTCTCATGCACCTGTCTATTGAAATTCTTAAAATGTTTTTAACCTATGAAAACTGGAAAAGTGTACCCATCAGCTCAGGTTTGACCGACTTACAAAAAGTAAAAGATAAATTCTTTAAAAATGTAGCGAAAAGCTACTTGTTAAAACTATGTTTCAAATTTCAAGAATATCAATATAACAATCACTTTACTTATGAGACTAAAACTTTAAGGAAATATGAGTAGAAAATATAAAATAGGAAGATCAAGGATTCCTAGATGCCTGACTAAATCATATTTATTTTTTTTAGTATAAAAACACATTTGAGAAAAAGGATTTAGGCAAACTGTGAACCTGTCATGCATAAATTCAAAAATGGTTAAATGCAAAAATCAAAATTAACAAATGCAGAATTTTTCACATGCACATAAAACACTAAAGTTTTTCTTCTGACTTCACAGACCCATGCACACTGCCAGCGTACAGATGCAAAGACGTCAGCACCGCCCTTAAATGTGGAGTAAGTCAACAATCTAAATGAAGCCACCAGTTCAGCTTCCTGGTGTTAAACATGCAATCTGTCCTCTGCATGCAGACTCTGTTCTACTGTCAGAAATTCGCCTGGAAACCTCTGAGCTACAACACAATCTGACACGTTAAAGGTGAGTAAACACCAACGACAATAAAGTCAGAAAAAGACGGAACTGCAATAACCCACATGTACTTATTTTTCTTCAACAGGGTGGAGAAGAAAAGCTGGTGCTGTTTCTATAAACAAGCCCTGCTCCAACTACGAATATAATTTTGTATCTTACTGCATTTTATGATTGTTTTGCTTTATGATTACACTGGCTGAGCTAAAAAGAAACAAAAAAACAAAACAAAAAACAGGGCACCAAGGATGATCAGGACTGAAGAAATGCTGCAAAGATATGAAGCTTCACTGGATGGAGGTTGAATTTTTCATAACCCAGTTACTCTGTAAACAAGATTAAACCTTCAGTCAGCTTATCAAGCGTCAACAGTTTATATCATGTTCTTTATTGTTTGAATTGGCTGGGATAAAATGATCCCAATGGTATTTCACTTTTAAGTATTTTGTACACTTCACACTTTGTTCCCGTCTGCAGGTGGAAACCAAGTTTCTGCAAACACCTGCAGGCCAAATATTCAGACTTTTGTGCTAGAATTTAAAGTAAATACAAACCTGAGAATGGTAAGTCGCGTGGTCACAGAGAGCAGAAGTGACACATTCATTTAGAATGGAAACTAATCATAAAGGAAGTGATCACATCAACCAAATCTTCAAAATACTCAGTTCTGCTTTCATGTTCTCACTGGTACTTTCAAGTACATCTGGTGACCAGTTGAAGCACATGACAAACAAGTCAGACATGTGAATTTTTATTTGAGGAAAATTCAGAAAGGAGAAGAGAGAGAGACATGAAGGTAACAGATTGATTTTAGGTTCATTTGTAGCAAACGAGAAAAGGCACTTAATACACAAAACACTGAATTTAACAAAAAGAAGGGGAACGGCTTTTCACACTCCCAGCTGCAGACGATGTAAACAGGCTGGTTTCTCTGTACAACACCAACCGATTATTTGTTCCGAGTCGTGGGTGAGTTTGAGGAAGCAGACATGTTGTGAATTAAATAGTGAAGTAAAACTAGCAGATAACTCTATGTGTCGTTACGGAATCAAGATGTATCGATTAAAAACCTCATTTTAAAGTTTAAAGTTTCTCCATCTGCCCCTCCCAAACCTGCTGCTGCACGCCACCAGTAAGATGGCTGACAGGAGATTCCTCAACACACCAGCCGTCGCTCTCAAGTTAAAGCTGGACTGGCTGAGTCCACATCTGTTAAACGGTCAGATAATGATTAGTAGGAACCAAGCCACCTTTTTATATCATCTCTGAAATGCATTTAATTTTTTTAAAAGAGCAGAGTGGCAGAAAGGTATAAATTACCACAAACTCAAGCAGGTGTTTAAGTTATATTTTAGTGTTTTATTATTTTGGCAGCAGTTGTAATCAGGGTTTCCTGTTTAAAAACACTAAACAACCACAATACTGAGCTGAAGACGCCAAAGGCGAATCTTAGCTCTGGTAGTTTTTAGAGAAACAGCGCCACCTAGATGAAAGCCAGGTATTCAGCTGATATCTGGGTGAAGTAAGTGGACGAGAGGGGCCATCTGGAAAAATCTAGCAGAGGAGATTAGATTTTATTTAAATATAATTTGAAACTGGAAGTTCAAACATTCAAAGCGCCCAAAAACCGACTGTCGAAAAGGAAGAGGAATACATTCAGTACACCAACTGGGTCTCACACTGCAACAAACGTCACAAAAAATAATCTGAGCATTGAGCCGATGCAACGATGGAGTGTTTGATTCAGGAATAAGGTGATCTTTGTGCCTTTATCTTAGTCAACATTTTTGAACAAAGTTTGAAAAATCCTAGCGAGATTTAAGGATAGAAAATATCTACATAATACAGAAACCACTGTGCAGCCCAACATAACCACAAAACCATTAGCAGCTTCTGACTTCTCTGTAAAACGTCAGAAAAAACAATGGCATGAAGAGGCTGCACACAACTACATAAATAAAGTGGTCTGACTTTCATTTGTAACAAAGTTGTAACATAACCTTTTGCACACCAAAGAGCACGAACTGGCTCATCTCTTCATCTGTACTGCAACAAGATGTAGGTTAAATGTTCCTTCGAAACCTGTCTTTATAAAACTCTTAATTTTAAATACTAAATAAGTAAAAATTATAGTGCAGCAGGCAAAATAATGGTAACATTGCCAACAGTTGGACAAAAACTAATTAGATGGTGTTCTGATGTACAAGCAAAGTAAAGCAAAGAAGAGGAGAAGAGGACGGTAAGAGGTTTATCTGCAGGATGGTGTGTGTGTGTGTGTGTGTGTGACGGGGATCAGAGTGCCTCAGTATTTCAGCTTCTTGGGAATCTCCCAGGAGAACAAATCGCGACCAAAGTGACCGTAGGAAGCCGTGCGCTGGTAGATGGGCTTCTTCAGATCGAGGTCCCTTGGAGAGAAACAAAAGGTCATCACTCATTAAGAAATTAAAGATACATGAAGAAGTCTTCATCTTTCATTTCCTTTAGTTTTTGGTTCATTTCATTTTGCTAAATACTATAAAAATCACATCAGAATATCAGAAGCATCTCTTACTTTCTTTAGAGATTTATATTTACTAAGCTGCCACTTCAGGATTCTGCCCTCATTGTTATGTTTGTGTCCAGTTGATAAATTCACAGTCGATTCAATTGGGAGGTCCAGCGGCGGATTTATTTTAAGGCAACACCTCAAACATACAGCCGGTCATAGAGCTGAACAATTGGCTGAATTTGCTTTTTAAACCCCATTGAGAGAATTTGCAGTAAAATGCTCAGACATTTGTCTGCATAACTCGGTATTAACTGGAGCCGTTATTTTCCTTGACACTTTGCAACAAAAGGCCAAAGCAGGATAGTCTATGTAGTTTTTTTTTTCCTTTCAATTTTACATACTTTTAATTAAAATTTATGCCAATTGCAGCTAAAAGACAATCTTTTATCCTTTAGACCCCGTCTTGACCTCTCTGGTTCCCACTTCTTGCTGTTTTACTCAATTATGTTGTGGAAACGAGAAACAGTTGCACAAAAAGTTGTTCTCCTTACAGTACCAAGCAGCAGGTCAGAGTTCAGCTGGTTTAATGAATGGAGCAATATTTATAAGGCCAATGTTTATGACATTTTGGACCTTTAGTAAAGCATTGAGTCAGTTTGTTGACTTTATTTGTAGAATTGCACAAAAACATATTGTTTTGCTTTAAAAAAACAAAAACAAAAAGCATCACACCATAGTTTTGTTTTTTGGAAGCTTATCAACTTCTTGCTTAAAAAAATAAAATTCAACTAAATATTTAGTTAAATTTTTTTTCACCTCACAATGACCCCTGGGCGGAGGTCAAAGTTCTTTGTCACGATGTCCAGCAGCTCTCTCTCACTCTTCTGAGAGGTCCCATAATGGAAGATGGAGACAGACAGAGGATGGGAAACTCCAATAGCATAGGAAACCTAAAACCGGGCAGATTTTAAACAACCTTATAATTTCTGAAAATATTAAATATTTCCAGAACGTTTCGGCTTCACTTGCTTATTTTTTTCCTCCATTTCACAACCAGGTGAGATGTACTCTTACCTGGACCAAGACGCGTCTGCAGAGTCCAGCTTTTACCAGAGATTTGGCCACCCAGCGAGCGGCGTACGCCGCAGAGCGGTCGACCTTTGTGTAGTCCTTTCCAGAAAACGCTCCACCTCCATGGGCTCCCCACCCACCATAGGTGTCCACTATGATCTTACGTCCAGTCAAACCAGCATCACTCTGCAGGAAAGATGGAAAATTTATTATATTTTTACATCAAACATAAATATGAATATATGTAATCCAGATGCTTTAAACTGATCAGTAAAGCCGTTCTCTCACCTGTGGACCACCTATGACAAAACGGCCGCTGGGCTGCAGGTGGTAGATGGTGTCGCCGTCGAGGTAACCAGACGGGACCACGGCTTTCACCACCTGTTCCTTCAGGCTGTGACGCATCTCCTCCAAGCTCACGCACTCGTCGTGCTGCACAGAGATCACGATGGTGTGGACACGCAGCGGCACCACGGCTCCTCGGTCCTGCCGGTACTGAACGGTCACCTGGATGGAGAAGAAGAAGAAGAAGAAGAACTCAGATTTCAGACAATTACAGACGGAAAATCTAAACAGAACCTGGTGATGATTAAACTGTTTCTGCAAGTTATGGAGATATACAAGAAATACATGTTCTAATGGGTTTTACCGAGCCTTATTTAGCTTTAGTCCATCAACAACTCTGATTCAAATAACAGTCTTAACACTAAATAAATGCTTCTATTCATAAAATTCTTCCAATATTAGGAGAATCTTAAGGAGACTGTAATCATAACATATTCATAATAATGGACCCAAATTACAAAATTTTAATTACTAATTGCTTAATATTTATTTGGTTTGCATATACAAGTTATTGTTTAATTGTAGAACATATTGTTTCACCATAAATACACTAAATAAATTAGTTAACATTGATCCTGCAATTACACAACCATGCAAGGTGTATTTGTACTTAAAGTTCCCCAATAAAATCCTTTAAAAAAAAAAAAAAAAAAAAGACTTCAATTTAGTTAAGATTTTTTTAAAGAAATTTTTGGTGACCATTTTGAAACTTATATAAAATACAAAAAAAAAACCTCAAGATTACGTATTTAATTATGAAAAAAAAAATTTAATTCTTTAAAATGTGTAATTCTACAATAGTTTATACATAGGAAGATCCTGGCAGGCACAAAATGACCACTAGATGGCAGTGATACTCCTTTTAAAATGAAAATATTTAAATTCTTCTTGCCCAACATTATAAAGTTTGGATGACATCTATCCACATTTTTAAAATAAATTATGTAATTGTCCTTTAAGAACAATAATAATAAATGCTAATTTAATGCTTGTCTAACCTGAGTTTTAGAGTCGGGTCGGACCCACGGCAGCGTTCCATCCCGACGCAACTCGGCCATCTTGGCGTTGAGCTTGTGAGCCAAAACGATGGTGAGCGGCATGCACTCCTCCGTCTCATCCGTGGCATAACCAAACATGAGACCCTGTCAGAAATGCAGTGACAGGATGAACGAGGCCAAACCACCTGATTTGTTGAACTGCTGACCGAACACAAACCTGATCGCCGGCTCCAACGTCCTCTTCTTTACGGTCGAGATGAACGCCCTGAGCAATGTCTGGAGACTGCTGCTCCAAAGCCACCAGCACATTGCAGGTCTTATGGTCAAAACCTGTGAAAAAAGGTTGTGACCTCAAAGGGAGAATCATTTCACCTGGCCAGAGTAAAGAACCACAAAACTTTGCCAGGTAATTAGCTAAAAATCCTCCATTGTTGACTTCAAAAATTGCCACATTCTTTATTCCATTCTTTCCCAGTCTTAGATTTCAGGACGCATTTTAGGCATTAAATTATAAATTTTACTCTGAACCTACTGCTCTTGATGTGATATAAACATATTTTTGCTGAAATAAGTGATTCCTTGCTTCACCTCCATTTCTGAATCTTAAACTCTTAGTCAAAGAAGACATAGAGTCAGACTTTCTAAAAATATCTTGTTCGTTTGCTACTTTAGACAAAGACTTTAGACAGTTCAACATGTCTAGAGCGAAAACAGAGAGAAAAAAAGACTGTTTTCAATTTATTCAACAACAAGAGCTGGTCAAAGACGGATCCATTTCCCCCTCGATGACCTCAATGCAGCACAGTCCATGGCTGCTCTCACTCTGAAAGAGTCCAAAAGCTTCACTGCGTAAAGCCCCAACAATGTTTTACCTTCACAATCCCAAAGTTTCTCTCCACAAATCTGCTTCTAGGTTTTGGGTATAACTCACGATACACCTTGGGGAAAACAAATCAGCTTCAACTTTTGAAGAAGAAATCTGTTCAATCCAGAAAACCAATGCTCATGTGAGCAATTACTCACAAGAGCTGCAGCAGCAGAAAATCTCCTTACTGAGATGTAAGGAGATTTTGTAGTAATTAATGTTCGACTAAATCCTAAAACAATTATTTCCACAAACAGTTAGATTGATAATGTAATAGCTAAAAGTTTTGTTTTGAATAATTCTGTGTTTGGACAAAAATAGAAATAATCATAACAAAAAAATAAATAAAAAAACTTTACAAATGTATTATTTTCCTCGTAAGACCACAACAATAAACTTGTTGGTATATTACACAATCAGCTTCTACTTTTAAATCAAAATGAACATCAATCAAAAATGCATTGAATTTATCACAACATTTTGCATTAGATGTTGCAAAAAAAACCAAAAAACTTTTAGGTTGTTTTTGCTAACCTAAAAGTTATCAAAAAAATATATAATTTTTCAGATTAGCTTTGAGCATGTTTTCCATCTTCAATTTTAAGCAATTACTTTAAAATATATTTAAGGAAAAGGACCCAGTTCTAAAATGTATTAAGTAGGTTGATGTCTCTCTCTACACAGTGTGCTGTGTAGTTCAGTGAGAATACTAAAGGAAGAGGTCTCCCAGGTCGAGATTATTAGCTAGTTTGTTAAAAAAATAAACAAATCCATATTTGCTTACCATCACCATGTTTACCTCTTTTTCAAAACATCATTTTTTAAATTAGCAGCATTGAACTGGGTCTGAACCAGCTTCCTCTCTCTACAAGCGTACCTTTGGAGGAATCGTCATAGCCGATGTCCTTGATCGTCTCTCTGACGACCTTCTGATAGTCAACAGTGGCTCTGGAGGTGATCTCCCCCGCAAGCAGGATCATCCCCGTCTTAGCTACAGTCTCTGGGGACAAACAGAAAACATTTAGTGTGCTACATCTAAATCTAATTCAGAGTCCAACACTGTTTAAACACCAACGCTACGCTACTTAAGTTATACTTTGTTGCCTTCAACGTTGAACAAAACTGTGTGACAATGAAACATTTTCAGGCCTGTTCATATGAAGATGAGGAAAAGCTCACAACCACAAACGGAACAATATTATCTTTATTCATCTGGTCCATTGAGGACCACCATACTGAAACCTGAAAGCTTTTAGAGCTTTCATCATCTCCCTCCCTGGTGTATTCAGCTACAAAGCAAACAATCATTTTCAACCAGAAAAACAAAGGGGACCTTTAAGCTATAATTGAGTGTGGGTAGAATGGGTCAATATTTTTTTAAGATGAATATTATTTCCACTATTTAATCCCATGAAAACATCTGAAGCTTGTTCTCCACTGATCTAATAGAAAGGTTGAACTCTTAGATCAGTGGCGTTCAAAGTTACAGCTCAGTGGAGATGCAGCTCTTTTTATAGAGGGTCAATTATTCAAAAGTCTCATTTTGTGTATTTTTTTGGTCTGGAAAAAGATGGGTTTCAAAAATTTTTTTTAATTTAATCTCACTAATCAGCAGGCACTGCCCATCACCTAGCAACCCCAGCAGAGTTTCTGCACATTTGGTCAGCTGGATTTACCGCTGTATTCGCTGTACAATGGCTGCTGGAATAAACAAGTGTTTTGTTGTCGACTTACAATCCAGTAACTACCTCTGCTTTTCAAAGATGTACGGTTGTACAACTGTGATTCTGTTTGCGTTTTCTATCCATAAACATATACTAATCTGTTCAAGAAAATATAATAGTTCCCCCTTAAAGAACAACCTTTATGGTTACTCACCACATGCTACTTTGGCGTCAGGGTCTTGTATCAGATGAGCGTCCAACACCGCATCACTAATCTGGTCACAAATCTTATCTGTGGAGGAACAACCCAATAGAAAAAGGATAAGAACATTTCCAGGAAATGGAAAGTCTCAGCTCAAGGTTTTCTGTAATTAAGCTTTAATTTGTTTTAATGCTTTAGGTTGTTGAGGAGAGCGACCCTGTCTTTTAACCTTTATTAAACTATTAATGAATCAAACCATTTTAATGTGGCAGATCTATTACTTGCATATAAATCAGATGAGCCTGATGTAAACAATCGTTCTTCAGTGAACCTCAGCATCCATCGTAATAATCGCATGTGTTCTTCCATGACGCAGCAGTCCCTTATCAGGGTGTTTACTTAAAAAAGCGCCAGCTGGAGGCTGTTATGCTGTGTACTTTCTGCTTTTAGACAATATAATGCAATTATCTATAATCAACTAGTTCTGTACTTCAAGAAAATATGGTTATGTGACTCCAATAAATGTTATCTGCCAGCAGAAAAGTCCCTTGGGGGTTATTTTCATTTGATCTGTCATCTTACATAAAAGTCAACTGGTCCAAACAAAGACCAGAACCACAAGAAATGGAAAGGTCTCATGCAAAACTCACAAAATACACAATTAAAAGTAAATTGTTCAGTCGTTATTCATCAATAAAGAATTAAAACTTCAGGCAGATATATGAAGCAGCAAAGCATGGATGCAAAATGAACCTACAGATTAGCAAAGCAATGAGCTAATCCAGCCTGAACCATCTCATCTCTGTGTCATACCAACCATTGCACTGTGTGTGAAATTGTAAACATTTCAAAGATTTACTTTTGGTGGCAAATTTAAGCTGAAAGAATCCAAATACGCTTTTACCCAATATTCGTAAATGTAAAGTCAATGTTGCATATAAAAAATATCCACTGATTTGGATTCTTTGCACCCACAGATGGGCAGATAGTCTGTCCAGTACTTAGAAGAAGAGGTAAGCCTATTATCTTTAGCAGTAGAGCTGGTGTTTTAAGAGGTAGGCCGACAACTGCGACAGGTCCACCACTTGCATTCACAAAATGCATGTTCAAAACCATATCTTTATGAATATGATCATGTTATCTTTTTCTATAAACTCTCAGATGTGACAGATGCAGCAAATATTAAATTCTAGTCTAAATATTGAGCTTGTTTAGATGTTTTGCTCTGTTACACAAGGAAATTAAAGCACTAAATGATATTTATAATTATATCAGAATTCTAACAAATATTTGAGCAACATTTGTAGCTTTTCTATGAGACATGAAACAATTTGTTAAATATTTGGCTGCACTTGTTTGTTTAAAAACATTGATACTATTGTATCCTGTGCAGGAAGTCCTGTGTTGACAGTAAACAAGTAAAAACTGGACTGAATAAAGCCAACATAAAAGAAATCAAAGTAGAAATGTTTAAAATGTAGGGTTTCAAGATCATCATAAATTTACCTTCACTGCAATATTAGTGCGAATAATTTATTGGCCATTTTGTTCCAAATGTAAAGATGTTTGAGAAAATAATAATTTAGCCTGTTGAGTGCACTTTGATGATAATTCATCTTTGACACTTCCTGCAGAATATAACTAAGTATTATTGTAATCAAATGATTTCCAATAATTGTGCAGAGTTATAAAAGAGAATTTTTTTTCTGTTTTCAGATCTAAAAAAGTGATTGAACAAATAAAACTATATTTATGAATCTATAATTAGGGGAAAAGAAGTGATGAGGAATAAACACAATTTCAATCATTTTCAAGAAGCAAAAAAATATACATAATGATAAAGGTGGGTCAGCATATATACATTTTTTACATGGAGATTTCATGCACTAGTGTGAACCAGTTTTATCCAAACCTATTTGCGCTTTTAAAAAATGATTTCATTCGCATTGAATGTTTTACTTATTTTAAGCAACAAATAAGTTGTTTGAGTCAGTATTGAAACAGACACCAGCTTTGAAACTAGACTGATAACATTTATGAAAACTAATAAAAAAAATATACATATATATATATTGTTACATTTAGCTATTCCCACCATTTCACTCAAACCAAAGTTAAGGTCCTGGGTCCATGTTTTATAGATAATCAAAGTTAGATGAAACATTTTAAAGTCATTAAACTAATCTTATTCATGTGCCAAAAACAGACTGAAGACAGCATGTGATTGACAGGCACCACAAGTCCTGCCACATGTTAGCTTCAGCGCCTAGCCACAGAGCTGCTCCAGCACCAGCTGGAGTCTCCCATCGGTCTAAAAATACAGCTTCCCAGCATAAAAAATGTTACAAATCGTTCTTAAAGAACACAGTGTGAAACTCGCTCCTGCAGAAGCACAGTGAGAGTTGCCTAATAGTTTAGCTTTTAGCTGGATGAAACAATGTAGCGGCTCACAGAGCCAGCTTTATCTAATGTTCTGCTCAAACGCATTTTTAATCACAATTTCTGTACAACCCGGTCATTTTTGCTTTAACTTTATTACCAGTCCGGATTGTTAATCCATTGTTTTGCGCACAAAACAACTGGCACGTAGAGCTTGACAACAATCAGCCACATGACCTTGTTTGAGAAGCTAACAGGATGCTAGGCTAATCGTTTGGGTCAGTAAAATGGACGGCGGCGCTTTGCACAGACACACTAAAACTCACCAGGGTGACCTTCTCCGACTGACTCGGAGGTGAAGAGGAAGCAGTCTTCATCATGAAGGGAGTCGCTGTAAAAACCGTTCAGATGGCCGTTCATCTTGTTTAAGCTAACGCGGGCTAGCAGCTGGCAGTCCTGTTTGCAGATCCGGGGTCGGGGGGGAGGGAGACTGTAGCACCAAAAGCAGCCTTCACCTGGGTTTATCACCGACACGACCACGGCTGCAGCCAGCTGAGTGGGTGATGATGGAGCAGGGAGCTGTATTTATGGGACTCCCACAGTCCACTGCTTCCAGCCAAGTGATGCAGAGCCCCGACTGGACCATGTGGTGCTGAGGGGCGTGTTCCAACTCCAGCAAAACAAACACGTCCATGAGGAGAGAGGCTGCTGCATGCAGGCACTGGTTCTTACTCAGGGTAGAACGTTCTCATTTTTAATGGAAGAGGATCTGGTTAATTGAGAAAACAAAACAAAAGTGGTACAGTGCATAGGTTTTAGGTAGATGTAAAAATGTCAAAAAGTTGTGCACATCTTTTTTTTTTTTTCAGAAGAGATATGCAAAAACACACAGTTATTGTACTATCTGCAGAGCAAATCAAATAATTGTGATTGGTTATTGTTTATTTGTTCACGTTTTATTTGCACAATCAAACAACATTCTGTCCTGGAAGGGAAACATTGGGTGTCAGAAACCAGCTCTGAGGAGCAGGGGTTGTGTTCACAAAGTGGCTAAGAACAATACGAGCCTTGGTTCAGGACTACAACTTAAGACTGAGGTGACACAGTCAACTGCACACTGAAACTAAATGTTTGCACGGATCAAGTCGTATAGAGCTAAAATCATCACGTTTTGGACACTTGAATGAATAAGTTAAGCTTACACTACTCTGACTCACACAGACACGTCCTGTCCTGGATGTGACCTATAATACCATCAATACTGGTTCAGAGTCCTTATTTTGATACCAAGCATGGATCCATATTGCTTTCAGTGATAGCTGGTCATTTCTGTCGCAGGTTTAGCCAGACGTTTGGCTTTACATTCATCACTTCTGAGTTCATGAGAACATTTCGAGAGTTTGCTCACATTCTTCACTCAAAGATATACATACAGCACAGAGTCGTATGAGATGATGATAGGTTCTCTAACAGGAAACTGCAACGCTGCAACGTGGAATGTTTGCAAACTACATGATAGTCGATAAAGGTGCAGCTTCTCTCAGATTGCCTCAGGCCAGATCATGATAGTGTGGATGTCATTTTTCCTATTTTACCTCTTTATAGTCTTTCGTTTGTCTGTTTCGACTTGCTTCCCAATCTGTTTGACCCCAGTGGGGCTGACCTGAGCTGGACTGTGTTCACCTAAGATGGCTACAATCAGGGCCTCCGGCGCTGTGACCCCGCTGCCCGGAGACACGGGGCTGCGAGGGCTGAGGGGGCTGATGGTGGGGGACGGCACAGTGTCGGGGGAGACCAAGCGCTCCTTCTTAGCAGCAGAGCATGGCGAGCGGCTTCGTGATTGGCTCTCCTTGGTGCGAGGACACAAGCTGAGGCCCTGCAAGGCAGGGAGGGGGTTGGACGACATCGCAGGGACGGCGGGGCTGCGACTACGGCGATGGCGATGATGCCTTTTGCCAGTGTTTGGGCTTGGACTGCGGGAGTTTGGAGCCAGCAGAACCATGGTGCTGTCATCTTCAGAGCTGACATTGGAGCTGTCAGAGCGGCACACAGTGGGGCTGACAGCAGGCATCCTGATCTGTGGAGGATTGAGAAGAAGGTTATTGTTAAAGGAAGTAACGGTTTTAATCTCCTTGAATTTTGTCACAATTTGTTTCAACCACAAACGTCAGTGTATTTTATGGGAACTTATGCCATAGATTCAAAAGGTAGTTCTTAATTGTGAAGTGTAAAGGAAATTATAGTCATTTTTTACAAAGAAAAGAGATGTAGTATGCATGTATATTGGGCACTATTACCTGTGATTACAGCTTCAGGTCTCTACAAGCTTTACTCATCTCCAGACTAAAATAATCTGTCAGTTCTTCTTTGCAAAACAGCTTAAGCTTTCAGCAGTCAGTTTGGGTGGAACGTGTCTGCAAATGCCATTTTTTAAAGTCTTGCCACTATTTGACTTAAATTTAGAATTTGACTGAGATATTTTAACAAGAATAAGCTTCGATCTGAAGAAGATCTGCTAAATATATTGAATGAAATCATCAACAACAGTATGTGCAACATCATAAAAGACTGCTTGGATGCAGCTTCTGGTTGTAACATTTCAGGGTCTGTGAGTCAATGATCTTTGTGGCCATTCAGACTGACTTTCGTTTTCATGTCAAGTACATAATAGCGACTGAGATGCTAAATCTCCAGGAGAGAGGAAAGATCATTGTGTTGATGGAAAAGAAAGAAAAGAGAAAATTAAAAATTCTTAAAAACTTTGATCTGATAAACAAGGTGAATTAATAAAACTAATTCAGTTGTACTTATCTTATGGTAGTTTTGTCAATAAGATATTGCATCATATAGATTTTCTTTTATACTAAAAAGTTGAATTGTGCACTGCATACCTCGTAACAGTAATTTTATCTGATGAAACTTTGCTACCTGAACTGGCGAAGACAAACTGACGATGCTGTTCATGATATTGCTGAAGTAACCCAGGATGTATTCACAGTCATCTCTCGGCAGATCCTCTTCTGAGAACGACACCTACGGAAATGACCCCAGTCAGCTCTGAGTCAACTTTAACTTTTAAAGCTGCAGTCATCAACACACCTGTGTGGCGTGCTCTCCTTTGGCCCAGACGTACGCCTGATAATCCTTGTGATGCCTGAATCTCGCCTGTTCAGTGAGAAATGTGTTAGCAATGCTTGGAAGAAAAGTGTCAACGTTTGATATAAGAGTTTCTCCATGACCTACTTTGTATATTGCCACCCAGTCCCATGAACTGCGCTGATATGTTGAAGCAACAGTGAATCTGACTGTGGCGTCTGATGCTTTGCACCACTCCTTATTTACCTGCAGCTCCACCAGAGGTAGATCCACCCTGAATGGGAACTATAATTCGAAAGTTAAAATACATAAACTATACTTGCAAAAAATGCATCGTACTGAAAAGAGATGTGACCTCACCTGCAGAGAGAACAACGCGGAAACAGGCTTATGGTCACTGATGGTGAAGCCCATGTGACTTTGATACTTATGTTGTATCACTTTGGTGGCTCCGCCCAACCAGGAAGTCAGACCCCGCTGCAAAGATGCATTGTGGGTAGGAACGGGGGAGCCGGTGCGACGAAGGCGCCACAGGATGCGGTCTGTCCAGGCGGGTTTTCTCTTCTTAGCACTGATGTATTTAAATATGAGGGCAGTCATTATAATTTATAGAGAAGAAAATTAATATGGGACTTAAATCAAAATCAGTCTTTATTTAGGATTTCAAATTGGATAAGTAATTTTAAAAGGTTCTTTTCTGAAGCAAAAAAAAAAAACGAGGAATTTACATATCTGAATGGGAAAATCAAAACTCTATTTAAAATCAAAACTCAATAAGGGATTGCTTTCTTTACAAAAACTGTGATCTAAATTTGAACTATAGTAAAACAGTGACTATGGTTTATGTGTAGAAAAGACTTGCACAATCACTAAATGACTAAAGAATATAAAGTATTCTGTCAATGTTTAGAGAAATAAGATCGCTGACATCTGTTGGCACCAGAGTAACAATGCTGGTCAGAATTGGAGCAGGAACATCTACCTGAATCCTACCAAAGTCCTAGTGTTGAGAATTACAGTTTTTGTCAAAAGTCAAGTCTCAACTTCTTGTAATGAGTTACAGGCAGACTTGATATTGCTCTTTTAAATTCCTGTGTAGGTTGCTGGTTTGCTAAGTCTTCGAGCTGCTGCTCTAAGACATTTTTTCTGATTTATTTCTTCTCATTGGATACATTTACCAACATATTTTCACATCATAAACTCAAGATCAACCTCATTAAGAGATTTTTCTGAAATCTCTTAATGAGATTTTTAAAAAATATATCTTATTCAGGGTTTATTTTGGAAAAAGAAACTCTGTATGTGCAGACCTGGTGTCATATGTGTGGGTTCCCACATCAAACTTATACGTAAGTGGAAACTTGAGCGGTCCCTCCATGAAGCCCTCCAGGATGGACTCTGTGTTTTTAGCCATATTGAGCTGGAGAAAAAAACAGGAAAGGAGAATGGCAGACTTTCTATTTTCTTTAATTAGGGCTATAGCTCCCTCTGCTGGCTGCAATCAACAGACATCCCATCCAGAAAAAATCCATGCTTCTGTTTTTAAATTATGAAGTTGCTTCACCTGATCCCGTTCCCATAGAAGAGGCAGCTTGCTGCTTTCAATGGCACATTTCACCACATGGATGTCATAGTCTTCAATACGGAAATTTAGGTCCCCAAACCAAAACACAACGCTGCAAACACAAAATATAGTCTTGAAATACTTTTGCATCACAGATAATGGTGTCGTATTATTATGTAATTATTGATTTTACTAAAGTATGTTTGTTAAATTTATGATATCTCAGAAAGCAAGTTTATTTTTGTTTTTCAAATTCTTAATTGTCTTACTTTACCTTTATTTGATGACGAAGTCCCTTAAAATTAAGTCCCTTTTTTGAGGGAGATTAGGGCCTTTTCACAGTATATTGAACGGAATAAATAATATTGCATCCAATTTATACATCTTGAAACCCATATAAGAACAAAACCAGATAAAAACTCATAAGAGAACATAAATAACACATCATAAAATCAATTAAGAGAGGTTTAAAAAAGCAATTAAACTCTTCAGTCGAACAGTTACTAAGTGGATTTTTAAATTCGTTCAGTGACATGAAGTGTTGAAGCTGCAGTAATATTTTTATCTTGCCCAAGATTGTTTTGCAAAGAATTAAAATCCAGAATTATTTTTTTACCCAAATAAAAGAGTATTTTATATTCTGAAATTGTGGCCAATCGGCAATTTGTCAACTACTGACGGTTTAACTGCAGATGAAGAAAATGTCAGTTTCCTGAGTGGCAATAAGTGCTAAATGTATGAACTGCTCTGAATAGCCAGGCAGGTTAGTGAATTATTTCTTATTGTTCATTATGCATGATTTTATCGTGCCAACTTGGACATTTATTCCTTTGAGTTTAATTATTCTGAAGCCTAAATCTCCCCTGAGTTGTTTGTTATGTGTGCAGCTTCAGCATGTGGGAGAGTTGGCTCCAATATAACTGTGTGTAGGTGAGAGGAAAACAAAACTGACAAAACAATGATTCACAGCACCTTCACTT